TGAAACCTTTCAACCTGATGTCCTGTTATCACTAAAGTTGAGATGGTCTATACTGGCACTGTCTTTTTTTAGCCATCAAACATCAAGAAAATAATAACAACAACTAAACAAGACTGCAGTTTACGTCTTTGTAGCATACAAAAATATCTGTTTCATTGCAATATCTTAAATTCTCCCTTAATCTCTCAAACCCCTATGAATAAAGCATTGGATTACCAAGTAATACCCTTCATCACAAGGAATTAGGCACTTTAGCTTTAGGCTCCATCTAAACCACTGCATTAGGAGAGATGTTACTGACGTCATGTTTTCCAAGTTGCGGTTGACTCGTGGTGCCTTCCCTCGACCTTTAAGGTCTTGCTGAGATAAAGTGTCTCTTGTGACTCAATTCTCTTTTTTGGGTGGCTTTGAGGCACTAACATGCATATGGTTTTGTAGCTAAAAGACAAGAGTAGGAAACTTAATTCCTGTTTGTGTGCGTGCTGATGAGTCTGTAACAGAGCTTTGGCAAGTTGTGTGATTTCCTTCGTCTATAATTAGGATAATATTTTACTTGTAAGAAGAGTGTTTTTAATTAGGGCCTTGATGTGCTGATGTCTTCTGCCTGCAATATGCAGAAATTTAACGGACATCCAGCTCGTGATTCCCTCCTCCCTTTTCTCCAGCTATCATATTTTAAAACTTGCTGTGGTACCAGAGGTTTTGTACTTCTGTACCATTAGTTGTGAGAATTCTACTAGAATTCGTAGAACAAAATGGACGGAATGTGTCTCTACACTCAAATCTCTATTGCTTCCCCACTTCAGCTGGCTAGAATGATGAATGCAGCTGGCACCTGGTCAAAAACTGTCCAGCAAATTCCTGGTTTTTCAAAGGTACTTTCCCTGTTTAAGGCAGAGGAAGTGTAGGAGTCACCAGTGTGGCCTTGAACCATCATTCAGGCCTTAGTGTTTACAAAGGATTACATTCTTGCTAAATAATGTTAAAACAGACCTCAGTCTGAACCAATTTGCTTTATGACACTTGCTGTGTAATCTTATGCCGTGAAAGGCTTTCTGATTGCATTCATCTTTCTTTTTTACCAATACACATGATAGTATGTTTTATCTACGCTAAGCATTAATTCCTTAGATTTAGTATGTCCCCATAATCTGGATAATTGCTTTTGTGAAGCCGTTTTAGGTGAGCATTTTATAGTTTGCTGGACAGCTGTTTATCTTGTAGGTTATTGGTGGTGCAGTCCATAACAGAACCGGCATGAGTTATGTTGGATTGATTTTTGTACTTCATCCCATCATTGAGCAGGTGTTGGCTATTTATAAAATCGTCACTTGATGTCTCGTTTCCCTAGGAGTTGTAACACCCTGTCATCACATACTTAAGAAAATACTTAACTATTGAAGACCTCATTAGGCAAATTATTACAGATCCATTGGGGGTCTGCCTTTTTTCTGCTATGTTATTTAGAAATGGTAAAAGCTGAATTTACCTTATAGTCTGCAACCGAACGGCAGCTTTCACAAGAAAGGTCATTAGCCTGAAAGTTCGAATATAAGGTTTGCAGTCCGTCCTCACTTCACGTGCCCCAAACAGTATTCTGTTTACCCTTGGCACTGTTGTAAACAAGAACCTATCTGTTCCGCTGAGTGATTATGTAAATAGACAGGGCTTTCATATAGCATTTTAAGCATCCAGTAGAACAGTGTAACATTTTTACATTTTTTTTTTCCTTGTCTAATGGTAACTGCATAATTGGACAGGTTTTAAGTTATTTTTTTTGCTATCTGATATGTAGATGCCAGAGTCTCTTATGGGCATTATTACTAAAACGTCCTAAAAACCATTCAGGAAAACAAATCTGCTAGGCTTCCCCCTATTATCAACATCCCAAAATGCCTTTGGCAATGAGTAAATGCCAAGCATTTGTTATTTGGCACTTGACTAGTCACTCATTTATTTAAACTCAAACATGTTGCATAAGATTGCGAAAGTTATGCTAAGCTAATAATTAAAACCAAACCCCCCCCCCTCCCTTGATCCAACCATTCCAGTTTTCATCTAAATTGTACCATGAGGGCAAAAGTACCCAGGGCCGTGTATCCCATTAGGCATAATCGACTGTCTGGTGTTGGCAGAACATGCAGTTGGCCGTGAGCAGTTGCAGGGGGGTTGTTCTTGTACTCAGAAGGCTAGGGGTGTGTTGCTGCAGTAGAACAGCTCCTTTTTCTTTCATGCCCCACCCACCGCCACCACCCTTTTTTTTTTGATTTTTAGTCAGGTTTTGGCAGTCATTTACTGATAGACACATATTTATTAAGCGTCCTTTGCTGTCCTGAAGATTCTGCGTGAGATCTGACACAGCTTTCCTTGCACCTGCAGAGCAGCAGTTCTAGACTAGATCTAGGTCTAGGCAGTAGTAGTTAAAAGCAGGTTTCTGTTGTGGAACTGCCATCCTTTTTAATGCATGCACTTGCTGACTTCCTTCTCTGTACTATTTGGGTACCAACGACTTGGTTTTGCTTTTGAAGGTCTTCTATTATCTTGTCCCCACCCAATCTGATTTTTCTCAATCTATTTTAGAATTTGATTTGTATTTGCAGTCAGTTTTCATTACGAGCCTCTGTTAACATACTAGATTTTTCAGACTAACACTTGCTTTCTTGCCCCTGGGTTGCCTTTCACTTCTGGGAAGAAATATCTGCAAAATTATCTCATCTTCATGTGTTCTGTTATTAAAAATTTTTCTCTGCCATGGTGCCTACCAAAAATACATGGCGGCAGCTCTGACGTGCTACGCCTGCTCTTAGTCCTGCTGATTGGGATTTTAGACTGAGGGAAGAATTTTCTTACCGCTGACAAAATGTGTGGTAAAAAGAGAGCTAGTTAAGCTGTGTATTTATGCCTGCCTTGTTGTTTCTGACCTGCACAGTGTAGTCTGTGTCGGCAGTCTGGTATTGCATGTGCACCACAACTGAAAACGTGCTGACAGCAGGGACAGAACTCAGTTGCAAGGGCTTGGTTTGAAGAAGCAGAAATCTAAATGTTGAGAGAAAACTGAAGAATTGCATTTAGACTCTTGATTTGAAGGTGGCTTTGCTCTGTAAAACTATTTCTGTCCCATATCGTGTTGTTTGCTATTACATAGAAACAGAAATGCCCTTCTGTCTCTTGGTGCCCTGCAGTGTTTTTAAAATACACATTAAACTACTCTTTCCTTAATTTTGTCTCCCTGAGAGCCTCAAATTTCAGTTGAACTTGTGCCAATAAATATTCCTATGTCCTTTTCAAGTCTCCAAGATGTCAAAAATAAAGATGGGGTTTGAAGCATGGTCCATTTACATCTTTTTTGCTTATTTGGTGAATGGTTTTTATCCAGTGCTGCCTAATTGTATTTACATTCTAGAATCGAAACTGAAACATTATAAATGGGAATTCTACCTTCTACCTTCAGCTACCTTCATGTAGCTTTGCTCCTCGTGCTGGCTAATGTCACAGTTACCCAGTTAGTTTATGGAGAGTGACATTGCCTTCAATGTTGATACCATTCTCAAGGTCGATAAAGTTTGATTAATATGAGTACTTGCTTTTTTAAAAATAGTTTACATTTCACATTATCAAAACCTGTGTTAAAACCACAACTTTCTTCAAGATGTGAAGATGACTTAAATTACTTTAAAAAAGCATGTAAGCCGTATGTTTACTGCCGAGCTTTTTTTAAGATCAGGCCCCTAACAATTTGATGTCTTTGGTTAATCAAGACATATGCTGAATACCTTGGGTCAGAATTTCCCAACGGGTAAGACAGCATTTGTCTTCAGAGGAACAATGTGAAACTGTTTTTCTTATTTCATATATTCAGTTCAAAGCTGAGAACTGTAATTTAAAAACAGTGGTGATAATTATGATTAATTTATATTTTGATAAAGTATTCACTATATGTAAGAAACCTTTAATAGAAAATCATATCAGGAGGTTTTGTGGGCTGTAGCTGAATGAAATTGAACAGCAGCTTGAAATAAATAATTAGTATTAAATACCTAAATATTAAAGCAAATCAGTTTGACTTACTATTTTTAATGAACTGTACATTAAAAATTTAAAATACTTTTCCTAACACTGAACACTTTTTCAAATATAATTTTAAAAATACTTCAACTGGTTTAAATCAATCCATTTTTTGTTTAAAGTGCAGCAAAGCAAACAATATTTTATAGCAAACAAATGTTTACTTCTCTTGAATACAAGGTGCCTTTGCCATTGTAGCTCCATCACATCACCTTTTTTTTTTTTTTTCTTTTTAAGGACTTAGACAATTTAAGCGAATTTATCTTCAGTGATCTAATACTGGATGTAATAATAGCCTTCTAGAGCAGCTTAGAGATAGCTGTGTGTGTGTGATGTGAGTGTGAATGGATTATAAAATAAAAGAAACTCCACACTATCTTTCTTAATGTAAGGCCTAAAGCTCTTAACAGAAATGTGTTCCCTGGTGACGTTGGTTGTGTGCATTACATGGTCATTGTGCTGGTTTGACTTGCAGAAATATCAGTCCCTTGTTGTTGGAGCTGCCCTAGATTCATAGTCTTTAACAGAGTTGTCAAAAATGCTAAATTAAACAAAAAAAGGGAAATAATTTAAACTGTAAGGGTAAAATTGGTACGAGAAAAACTGCTTTAAACTTTTAATAATTATGTATGTTTTGTCTCTTTTGTTTTACAGATTTCCTTTTGGCCTCGATTGTTTCATTATGGCAGCCTCCAGTGAACAATGACATCCTTTGACAAAAACAGATGCCAAAAAGCCAGACGAAAACAGTGGCCTTGTTTCATTTTTACTCCAACACAGTGAAATGGTGCTCTTAAAGTTTTGTTACTGACACTGGAAAAAAACAAACTCCTGATTGGACCTTCTCCCCCAGCCCCTCTCACAGTGTTCTTATGGATGCTTGACACAGTGACATCATGTAGTAGGCCCTGAAGTGTTGTCATAATTACGTTGCAATGGTTTTATACACTTCCCCATTTCCCAACAGCTTTCTGTCAGTTCTGCATTCTTTTTCCTGGGGCCTGATTTTCCCATGTTACTGGTTAGCAGATAGGCTTGTGGGCTCTTTTGTTCCAACCACCTATGAAAAACGTCAAAGAGCAGATGATCCTTGCTATTTTCATGCACTCTGCATCATTATTACCACTCCCATCTACCTGGCACTGTTGGTAGCCTCTCTTCCTTTCGCTCTGATTGGCTTCTTGCTGTGGTCCCCGCTCCAGTCAGCCCGAAGGCCATATATCTACTCCAGGCTGGAAGACAAGAACCATGCCAATGGAGCCACACTGCTCACTGAATGGAAGGCTGCAGGGAATGGGAAAAGCTTCTGCTTTGGCAGTGCCAATGTTTGCCTGTTGCCAGATTCTCTGGCAAGATTTAATAATGTGTTCAATACACAGGCTAGGGCTAAAGAGATTGGCCGGAGAATCCGAAATGGGGCAAGCAGACCACAGATCAAAATATATATAGATTCTCCTACCAACACATCCATCAGTGCAGCAAGTTTTAGCAGCTTGGTCTCCCCCCAGGGTGGAGATAACACTAATCATACTGTTAATGCTGGCATCAAAAGGACAACATCAATGGAGTATAAAGGAGACAATTCTGGCTCAAACAACGGTGAGGATAGAGAAGATAAAGGTGGAGCTGCAGAGCCAAATGAAGGAGAAGAAAACACTTGCATTGTCCGCATAAATGGAGAGGAGAATGCCCACATGTCAGACACAGAAACAGACACCGTTAATGGCCAGGCTCATGCCAGTGGCCCAGCAGAGCCCTCACTGGAAGGTGATGCAGAGATCTCAAAAACACCTAACCACAAACAGAAGGAAGGAGATTCTGGGAGTTTAGACAGCTACTCCGCCTCGCGAGAGTCCTTAGTTAAAGTTCGCGTTGGAGACGGTACGGTGGACCAAAGCACTGTCAACAACAAGCTCCTCTACAAAGCTTCAATCATGAAGAAGACTTCAGTGCGGAAAAAGAAGCATACAGATGAGACCTTTGATCATGAGATCTCTGCTTTCTTCCCTGCCAACCTGGACTTTCTGTGTTTGCAGGAAGTGTTTGACAAAAGAGCTGCAGAGAAATTGAAAGAGCAGCTTCATCACTATTTTGAATACATTGTCTATGATGTTGGGGTCTATAGTTGCCATGGCTGCTGTAGCTTTAAGTTTGTGAACAGTGGTCTACTTTTTGCCAGCCGCTATCCTGTCATGGATGCTGCCTATCACTGTTACCCCAATGGAAGAGGAACGGACTCCTTGGCTTCCAAGGGAGCCTTGTTTCTCAAGGTAAGAGCCTTTTTGAAGCTGTAAATATCGACTCTGTGCAGTGACAAGTTACTAAGTTTTGTTATTTTCTCTCCATCATTTCTGTTAGAGTTCCAAGAGGAAATACTCAGTTCTAGAAAACGTGATATAATCTATATGTAGGTTTTGTGGCCTAGATGCTATGTTTAAGTGATGGATGTGCATGAAATAATGAGGGACTTCAGGAGGTAGAACCCGAGTATAACTTCAGGTGTCAAAATTTGAAGTAGTTTTCATGTAATACTAGGTTCTTTTTTACAGAAATCTCTTAATAAAATGCACAAACCCGAAGCTTCATAACATGAGTACAGTAAAATAAGCATTGCTGTTGGAAACCAGCCTATGCGCGTTGTGTGTTCATGTGGGAATCAGAAGTCTAAATGCCAGTAGAATAAAACTGAAAAATGTATGGCTGTATCTCTCTCGTGGTTGCAAAAGAATTCTCGTGGTGTTAAACCATGACAGAGAGATACAAAGAAAGGTAAACAAAAAAAATGTCTGGGACACTGGGGAGCACAGAGGGTTTTCACTTCATTAACACAGTTTACTTAAATTACCTAGTAGTAGTGAGAACGGGAAGCCTGGGGTTATACTTCTGTAAATCTTGAAAAGCAGAAATAGAGGTCTGCGTGCAGTGATTTGCTTTTCCAAGAGTAGTGGTGACTCTTTGTGCTTAATCCTTGGGACAATCTGGGTGTGCTCTTCATAAACTGGTAAGCGAGCTCTTCTAATTTGTGATTAATCAAGAACCAAAACTTGGTGCAGAGATCCAAATCTGTAGACCTACACCTAGACAGATCTGAAAATCTCTTAGGATCCCGGATTTCAGATTTTGTAATTTTGACAGAGTTTGGAATGGGTTTCACTAATTAAAACCCAAACTTCTTTCCTAATGCTAGCAAATACATCAGGTGCTCAAACTGTATGTACTTACTGGTGCATATGCTCACGTGTCCTCAACGAAAGCCATTAATAGCCATTAAGAAGATGTATTGTTAATAAGGATCAGTGGGATTTTTTGTACCCACTGTTTCTAATTTGTAAACAAAGCAAAAACTTTTGGTATTGTGGCTTGCATAAAAAAAGCAAATATTAGAATTTGCAGCCTGGTGGTAGTCCGGTATTTCATAAACATTTGACATAACCAAAAGCCTGTCCATATCTGAACAGATGCTTCACAAAATTGGTCTGAGCTTTCTATACTCTACTCTTACATGTTTATAATCAGCTAAATATTTTTTTTTCATCATAAAGTGCTGCATGCAAAAAACGAACATACCTGTTGTGCAGTCTAACTATTACTAGGGTCACAAAGACTGCCCTTCAGCATATGCGTATTGGGGATTAAGAGATTAAAACCAATCTGCTTTCAGCTGCCCATTGCTGAGTCACTGATTTGCTGCCCTGCAGGCAGGCCACAATGTCTCCAGTTCTCTTGCAGAAAATTAAGCCTCTTTTCAAAATTCCACTGGGATGATGAACTTAATTATGGATTCAAGTGTTAAATAATGTTACAGTTGAGCAGGGAATAGGGACCAATTATTAGGAAGATTCAAAGATGACTACATTCTTTTAAATATGCCAGAATTCTGGCCTAGCTAGAAGACCATTTTTTTTCTCATGTCTGTGACATTCTGACATACTCTACTTCATACCTAAAAGAGTTTTCATTCTGAATTAAGTCTATCCTGATATGAAATGACTTTCTGTCCTAATTGTACATTAACTGATCACTGCTCAGTTCTTTCTTCGACCAAAAAAAAAAAAAAAGTAGGAATGATTATTTAATTTCAGCTTTGAAACAAAGTAGGTTTGAAGGTTGTTTTTCTTGATGTAGTGCTAAATCAGCAACTGAGTGTGTGTGGACTCTGAAGACAAAAGCTACAGTAAGTAAAAGCCTGGTTTGTAGTCAGTGAGAATGGACCCGTTCACTTCAGAAGCCTTGAGGCCTTACACTGGGATAGCAGCAAGGTAGCAGAGACGATGTAACTGTGGTTGGAAGGTGTCATTCCAGCCAGTACTCAGCCATTCACAATGGCCGGCATAGATTGCTGCTTTTAGATACTTCTTTTACTGGCTCTTCCAGTATTTTGTAGGTATGTAATACAATCCAGTCCTACATTAGAATTTATCTCTGTGTGGTTTCAAAGGTGGTTGTTGCAGAACAAGTGTCTCCTGGATGCTTCTCGTTCAGTAGTGGCATGGAGTTATGTCTCTGTCCTTGTGTTAAGTTCCCAAGTCCTGTAGCAGGCATGGTGTTCTCATTTCTGAAGCAGAAAAGACATCAGCTGAGTTTTGGTCTGGAAGTGTACTTAGGAAGACTGTTTCCCTCACACAGCTTCCGTCTCTGAGCAAAGGAACAATTGCTCTCTGTGTTGGTTAAAAAAAAGAAGTCATGGAAAGTGAGTGAGGGGTGAAGACTTGCATATTTTGAAAATATGGATTAAATCACTTCATGTTTCCACTTACTGGGAGGATGAAGCCTTTGTTTAAATCCTTCTAAACCTCAGGAAAGACCCAATATCCAAATTCGTAAGAATGTTCAGAGAAAGAACCTGGTTCTCATTTAATGAGTACAGTTTGTCTCCTTACGACAAATACAGCTGTTAAGGACATAAATTAAAGGTCTCAGAACTAAAAATTTAATGCAAGTTGAATTATTTTGAACAAAAAGGCAAACCTCTTTTTGGAGAGTTGGGTTACAAAAAGTTCCCTACTGCCAAGCTACAAGTGTTTCACACCTTTTTCCCTTTTGGAATAGGTTGTTTTCAGTGAAGAGGAAATGATTTTCCATTGTCCCCATCTTCCCTGCCATGCCTTCACCATCTAGATTGTAAAGTTCAGGTGGAGATTTGGAAGGATTTGTGAGATTTGCTTAGTCACGCAGAATTATTTTGCCCGAGAGACTTACCCAGCTCAAGGGTTATTATTAGTAGCTGTAACAACAATCAGCTCTTACGTACTGCTTTTCATTCATATGTCTCAGAGTGCTTAATAAAGAAGGGTCAGTATCTGCTCTAATGGAAGGAGAAACTAAAGCACAGGAAGGTAAAGTGATTTGTGAGGTGTCACAACCGAGGAAAGAAGTTGGAAGTAAATCACAGAGGCTTTAGCACTGTTTCATGCTACTGACTTCACACTGCTTAACAGCTGTCGGAGACCTGTGCACAGGAATTTTGCTAGTCTTGGTCTGTTCACTTCCTAAAGATGTCTGCCACTAAAGGTGCTGCTGCTGGTCTTTGCCTGACTGAGGACAGACTGTTTTTTCCATCTGGATAGGCTGATGCTTTCCAGCTCAGCCTCCATGAAGGCCAGAGGACGACATAGTCATGAGTAGCTGTAGCGTAAAGCCCATTTTCAGCATAACTGTGATCTCTTCAAACTCTAGCAGTGTTTCCATCTCCAGTCTGAGGGTCTCACTGGGATCTAAGAGGGACGCAGTCACAGAAAAAATACCCTATCAGAAGGGGGAAATGTCACTTGCACCTAAGTGACAGGTTCATGTCTGAAGTGTTAAACAGCTGTTCCTAGTTGCTGCTAAAGACTCAGTGGAGAAGTTAGCAAATACATAAATCAGGCAATCCATTTTCATACTTTGACAGTCTGGGCCCTTGGGAGACTCTGCCGTGACTCTCTCTTCTAGCACTGCATTTCACATTAATTTAAAATGCCTAAGAAAAGAACCCTGGAGCCTGCTTTGTAGGTTTTATAACTCCAATTGTCTCTTCCTGCTGCTCTGCTGCAGAGAGAGGAGGGAAGTGGGACTGACACAGATGCTGGCCTGTGCCGGTGATTCCAGCTAAAAAGCTAGCTGGTGTAACGCGACGCAGATTGCAGTGCGCTCGGTTACTCGGCAGCTGCTGGCTTGACACGTACGTAATTTTGATTCACAGTGGTCTGGATGAAATTAAAGGGAGTTTTAAAATACATGTCACTTTGAGAAACTGGATGATGATTTTGCAGGCAAATCAAGTTTAAAACGTAGCAGTGAGCGCTGAGCAGACATTGTGTAATGCATCACCTGTTTGTAGTTCACTAGGAGGTTTCAAAATGCCAGCATTCATCTTTAGCTGGAAGAAGGGCTAGTGTGTAGCCTATCTTTCAGGGTTGCTGCAGAAGTTTTGGACAGTCATGTAATAAAACCAGAAACCATCCTTAATTTGACCTGATGCATTACTGAATCGGAGATCTTGTCCATATTTTTCCACGGATGTCAAACTAATAAAACCTGTCACTTCTGCTGACATATTTTGCCACTCTCTTGTCCTTGATTTGTAATAGCTGGAACTGCACTGTAAGTCTGAGCAATACAAGACTTGTAAATGCATACTTGGGGTAGGGAGGTGACTCAAAGGGGTACCGTTCTCAAACTGGCTGCTGAGGAGAGGTTTCGCAGTGGTTTGCCTGAGACTGGGAGAGAGAGGAATACTTTGCATAGAAGGCTGTTTTTCCTACCATTCTTGGTAGGAAATCTTCTTTTTGGCATCTGCCAAGAGAGGGAGTTTTAGGAAAAAAAATAAGAATTCCTGCTTAAAACACAGTATGCGAACACAGAGCAAAAGTAAAACCGCAGTCTGATGTGGGTAGTCTGAATAGCTAATAGTGTTCTAACAAAATCAAAAGGAATAAAAAAAAAATGTCTTGTAGTTTTTGCTAAATTTCTGAAAGGGCTTGTGTTTAATTAATTCCTAAGCTTATTAACAGATTTACTTTTCAGATTCTCTGAAAATTATTGCTGTTCTGAGGAAGTACAGTAATTGTGCAGAGAACATGTTATTATTCATAGCTTAAAGGAAACCTAGCAACCTTTGCTGTGTGTGCACAGCTAAACTTGTTTTCAAAGAGCTGATACGGTGGTAACAGATGGTGGAAGGAGCAGTAGCTCTGACTGCAAAACTGCTTTGAAGCACAGTTTTTACTCTTCACTACTCTGGAGGTGCCTGCCCGGTGTGATAAAATGAGGGTTCCTGAATTAACCTCTG